TAATCTTATTATCTTTACTCCTTTGATCTATGACTGTCTTTTTTTTATTTTATGTATACAATATTCTGTCTTTGTATATCTCTGCAGGCCAGAAGAGGGCATCAGGCCTCATTTCAGATGGTTGAGAGCCACCATGTGGTTGCTGGGAATTGAACTCAGGACCTTTGGAAGAGCAGGCGATGCTCTTAACCACTGAGCCATCTCTCCAGCCCCCTATGGCTGTCTTTTTTACAACTGTCTATGCTCCTTTTTTCCTCTCTCTCTCCCAAGACTGTCTACATTTTTTAAAACACACCGACCCATTTGGAGGTTTATTTCTTTGTCTGAATCTGTCTTTATGTGTGATCTGCATATGTGTGATCATTTTCTTACCAGCGGCACCTTTTTTTTTAAATGCAAAGCAGACATGGCTAGGACAACTCTGAGGCCCTGTCTGTTTGCCCCGCCCAGTCCACCCTGGCAGAGGCCTGTTTTTTGAGGTGTGTGATTAGTGACTTATCTGTGAGGTCATGGTGATCCTTTCAGCACCCACAGTAGAGAGGAGGAGCTGAGTCCAGAGAGGACCCCTTACGGTTATGTGGATATTGAACTGTGGTTTTTAAGCCTATTTTCCAAAACACGGTGCCGCCTTAGTACCTATCAGCAGCCAGCACTGAGTGCAAACTCCTGTCTACAAATTTTTCTGCTCTCAGTCGAAATGCATCATAATTTATCCTAGAAGTGTGCTCTTTCTTCAGTAGAGGGCCAAGACTTTCTCATGAGTTGACTGTAGAAATCTCATTGAGTATCTTCCAAATGAAGTGGTTCTCTCAACATGTGGGTGGCATCCCTTTCACAGGGTAACCTAAGACCATCAGAAAACACAGATATTGCCAGGCAGTGGTGGCTCACGCCTTAAATCCCAGCACTTGGGAGGCAGAGGCAGGCGGATCTCTGAGTTTGAGGCTAGTCTGGTCTGCAAGAGCTAGTTTCAGGACAGGCTCCAAAGCTACAGAGAAACTGGGTCTCGAACCTCCCTGCCCCCCCCAAAAGGAAAACACAGATAATTACATTGTGATTCATAACTAGCAAAATTAGTTATGAAGTAGCAACAAAAAAAACATTTATGGTTGGGGTCACCACACCATGAGAAACTGTTTGAAAGGATCACAGCATTAGGAAGGTTGAGAACCACTGTTCTAAGGGAACAAGTTTCAGGAGATTCTGTTAAATGTACTGTGGTTGGCCTGCTACTGCAGGGGACAAGGCGTCTGCTCTACTTGAATGGACGTCTAGACTTACTCTGTCACCTGCAAAGGAGGGATGATGCTTTCAAAGACTGATGTGTCATTCTCTGAGGCCAGACAGTTATGTCTGTAACTGTGAGGGAAACAGCTACTTAAAAATGAAACTCAGCTTGCCTCAGGAGGCAGAGGCAGGTGGATCTCTGTGAGTTCAAGGCCAGGTTGGAGCTACATATTGAGACTCTGTTTCAAAAATGAAAGAAAAATAACTTGTAATTATGAGCAAACCAACATTTACCGATTCTATTTTAGCTTTATTTTTTCATTTTTGAGCCTAATTTTTTGTACCCAAATTATCCTGCTTCCATGATCTTGTAGACACTCTTCTCTTATTCCAAGTCTGACTCATTGAAATGTCTCAAAAAAGTAGGGCTAGCAGTTCTGTTTTCAAGTCTGTCATTAAATAAAAACGTGCATTCAGAAACATGTCTTACCTAAGTGAATGGCTGCTCTTCTAGGGCACCCAGCACCCTCTTGTGGCCTTCAGAGGTACTGTATACACTTGGTGCACAAACATACATATACGTAAAAAAACATACACATAACCTAGTGTCTAGTTGGATTTCATAATTTCAAATGAGAAGTCAGGCTAGGTATGGTGGTACATGCATGTAACCCCAGCACTTGGAAGGTAGAGAGGGGAGGATCAGGAGTTTGAGGCTAGTCTGGACAATGTAAGAAGACCCCATCTTTTAAAGCGAAGTAGCCTGAGGGATAGATGATAAGGGAGCTAAATGGAAATACAGTTACAGGGTAACTGGTCGTGCTTGGAGTTTTAAGGTTGTGTTAGAGATTGGTGTACATAAAGTGCGTCTCACAGCCGTGCCTGGAATGTAGTTCTAGCTGTCCACGATCGGCAAGGTTAGTACTGGCTTCATTTGTTTATTTACTTCAATGCAGTAGTTTGTGGTGCCCAGAGTGGGCTCCAGTTTGCCACGTAGCTTAGAATGATCTTGGACTTTTCGTCCTCCCGCCTCTACCTCCTGCGGTCGAATCTTAATATGGTTCTAGGCGTCCGACTCGGGGCCCTTGGTGTTAGGCAGACACCTCCAGCTGAGCTGCATCCCAGCCCTGATACTGACTTCCAGGAGAGACGCCAACTAACTTTTAACGCACCCGCGATTAGAACACATCTGAGAAACTACAGTTAAGTATCCTGGAGTCTGTGGTTTTTTAAATAGCACCTGCTGGTCCCTGCTTTTGCTCTGTAAACAGCTATAATGCACTGGTTTCTGGTTTCCAGAACGCCAGGTGAGGAGAGGGCAGTGCTTGTGTGGATCATGTGGACAGGAGCAATGAATTAGGACGAATAATCCTTCCGAATACATGGTCTAAGTACACCGTGGTGCCGAGAGCTAAGCTGCTCGACATGAAGCTGCAGCCATTTTCATAAAACTGAGAAGATCCTAGTGGTAAATCCACCCAGATGTAGCAGGAAAGGCGCTGTCGGAGAGCTGAGGATATGGCTTGGCGCCGGAGCACTTACCTGGCGTGCGCACAGCCTGGCTTCATCCTCAGCATCACTCAGTCCCCCCCACAAAACAGTTCAGCTGTGCGTATGGATGGGTGGGTAGGAAAATGAGTTGATGTTGTGTTTTGTTGCACATAGAGTAAGCACAGTTTCATTTGACTAAGTTGTTAGCATGTGTTAGTATGACAGACGGGGAAGGGCGCTAAGGACATAACGCATTTTAGTGACAGGATTGCCCATAAGTAGAGTACAGTACTAGAGATCACTGGAGATGAGACACCGGAGTGAGGGAGCAAAGAGGGGTTAGAACTGGAAGTTAGAAGAATTTGAGCCCTTAGATTTTGTTTACTGATAATGCCAAGCCTGTAGCTAAAGTGGAACTGAGGTCGAACAAAGGGCACACTATCAAAAGGAGAGACAACCAAGGAGCTCAGTGGCCAAGACGTTGGGAGGATCCTTCTGTGGGTTTCAGTTACCAAGACAGTTCCACAAGGAGGCAGGAACTAGGATCTTGGTGGGAGTGGGAGAGACGGCTCAGTGGTTCGGGGCACATGCTGCTCTGCCAGAGGACCCGAGCTCAGAACTGCCTGGGCTTCTAGCTCCAGGGGATCCGATGGTTTCCTTCTGGCTCCACAGGCACCTGCACACACACGACGTAGTCACACAGACGCAACGTAAACTTCTTACTTTATGAAGGAAAGAGTTGTTTATTTGGGCTTAATGGTTTCAGGGGGATGAGAGTCCATCGTGGTGCAGGAGCAGGAAGCTGACGGAACTTATCTCCAGCCGCAAATACACGACAGAGCAGGCGCAGGGCTCTAGAAGCCCGCCCCCAGTGACACACTTCCCCAGAAGCCGCACCTCCTAAACCTTTCCCAGAGTAAAAACACTGTCAACTCAAGCAGTCGTGAGGACAGGAAGTTCCACCTCAAGGCCCATTGGGCAGGAAGTGGCACCAGGAAGAATGCAGGACAAACAGCAGACTCGATATTCAGTTCAGAGGTCGGGCGTTTCCAGAGTAGCAACCCCTTCGTTTCTGTCAAGCCATGGAACATGCATGTTATTGAAACTAAAGGAAACTCAGCGTCAGTTTTGAAGGCAAGGTGGTTTTAAGGGGAACGATCATTGTTTGGTAGTGTTGCCAGGATGGCATGCAGGCCTCAAATTGGAAGAGAAGCCAGAACTATGAGTTTTTCTGTAAAAATCTGTGTGAAAGTGGCCTGATCCGGGCCAGGCCTGACAGAACGTGCCCTCGCAGCTGCCCCAGTGAAAGGCCATCGGCTTCCTCGACGCTGCAGTTACCGATCGTGTCGGCCCCGAGTCCTTGTTAAGATACTTTTTTCTCTAAAAAACTTTACTCGGAGGCAGGTTTAGGGGCGCACACTTCTGGAGGAAGTGTGTCTGTCCCTGGAGAAGGACTTTGAGAGTGTATGTGTGTAGTTGCCTGTCACAATTTTGAAACTTCTCATTTAAAGTGCTATTATGATACATATTGGTGTATGATGACGCTTCTTATCTCCTGACTGCTTCCATGTTGGACTTAGTAACGCACTGCCCCAGCCACTGTCTGGAGGCCACCACACAGTGCTGTTACTGGGCAACTTACCAGCTGAATGCCCATTATTACTCAAGCAGGTGTCACACACACACACACACACACACACACACCATAAAACCAATAATGTGGTCAAGGAATGTGTATGGCCTGGAATTTCTATAATTAGATTTCAAGGCCAGCAAGATGGCCCAGGATGTGTGTGGGAGGGTGTGGGGTGTGAAGGCATCACAGCACAGACCTGGCAACCTGAGTTCCATCACCAGACCTCAGGGAAGATGGAAGGAGCCTAAGTACGTGGAAGTGGAGACCCATGGAGAGCGTGGCGATGGACTCCGCTCTCCGAACACATGCCTTAGCGTGTGCTTACACATTTTACACGAGATAAAAATTTAAATAAAATTTTGGACTTCGTAATAAAGCTTTCAATGAAGAAACGCTAAAGGCCTGAAGAGATGACTCATCAGGTAAGAGCACTTGCTGGGGCTGGAGAGATGGCTTAGGTTGGTTGTTCTTCCAGAGGTCCTGAGTTCAATTCCCGACAACCACACAGCAGCTGACAACCACCTGTAACTCCAGCTCCAGGAGATCCTCTTCTGGCCTCCTGGGGTACCTGCACATACATGTGCATACACATACATGCACTCAGATGCATATACACAAAAAGAAGAAAGAGAAAATACTGAGTTTCTAAATTTCATAAAAAGATTTTAATATTGAGAATCTTCCTCTAGTCACTGCTGACTGGAAGGAGTTTTTGTTGCTGAGAAGTCTGTGTAGAGTTACATTTGCCTCGACAGGGGTGGGGGCACAAAGCGCACCTCTAGGCTTAGCTCCTGAGCATGTAAACTGGGTGAACAGCTCATTGCCCACAGTTTGTCGCTGGAATGTCATTTGAGCATGCCAGTGCGTCATTACAGAAATAAAGCCACAGAGCAAGAACCCACCTGTATCTCCAGGGAGCTGCCAAGTGCAATTGAAAAGCGAAGAGATCAAATCCCGGCTGTGGGGTGTTTTACCATATTCTTTGTATTAAGACAATTGGCTGAAACTGTCTACTTAAGAGAAATCGTTTCGGGCTTAGAATATATTTAAAAGCTAGGAAACCTGAGGCAGTTGCGGTAGTATAAATCTATAATCCCAGCACTCAAGGGGGTGGTGAGTTCAAGGCCATCCTGGGCTACATCGTATGAGCCCATACCCCCAAACAAAAATAAAACAAACCCTGATTGTGATGACACACCTCTGTAATCCCCTTTGGGAGGCAGAGGCGACAGAATCACTGCAGGTTTGAGGCCAGCCTGGTCCAGACAGGAAGCTTCAGGCCAGTCAGGCCACAAGTGAGACCCGGTGTCAAACCAACTCTTCTATTAAGAGATGCCGTTACTGATGGTGTCGCTAAGATGTGGCCGAAAAGCACCTCCTCTAGCTCCCCGACTGTGACGCTTGAGCTTAGCCCAGGTCGTTCAGAGGGACAATACAGAATTGCTTTGGTCCTGCACAGCCAGTGGTCCTCCTCCTTCCCCTCTTAACTTTCTATTCACTTTTTTTTTTTATCACAGTGAGTAATCACCTGGGATTTATAGAGGATTAATGAATGAGCCTTTTCTAGCAGCATTTAATACATCACTCAGAAGAACAGGTCTTACTTAGCTGGGAAAGACAGGCTACCTCATTTTCACAGTAATTTTAAGTGCAGGTCGTGAAAACATTAAGACGCCGTCCACAAAGGACGTTGAGACAGCGGCGAGTCCAGTGCGGCCAGAGTTTGAGAGGGGGTCACATGGGTCAGACCCCCTTGACGGTCCGGTGACTGAGTTTGAGTCTTTGGGAGTCGTTACTCCCTTTTGTTCGTTGTTTGGTTGTTGTGCAGCCACGGAAGGAAAAAACTGAACGTCAGGATCATCAGCAGCACACCTGGAAGACAAAACCCAAAGTCTGTAGGGAGGGCGGTCATGACTGTGTGGGGACAAGTTAAGACTGCGGCTCGCGCACCGGGGATTACGACGCCGAAGCCGTGGTAGAAGCTTTACTTCCGCTTCACTCCAGGCGCGGTGAGAAACCCTGCGCTAAAATCATTTGTTCCCCTGCCAAGTGGCAGGGTTTTCTCCGTGCCTCAAAGGTGGCTCGGGAGGCAGGAGCTCACAGCATTTGGTGTTTTTGTTGTTTTAAAGTAGAGCAAACATAGATTAAAGAAAAGAAAAATCTCTGGAGAGTAGGTGGGACTCCAAGGGAGGAAATACCTGGATAGCTCTCTTGGGATTTCACCCAGAGTGTCCGGATGTGTATGTGAGGCTCTTGCTCTTGCTTCACGGGCCCCACCATTGTGGTTTTACAGATGTGTCCCAAGCAAATACCCCAAACCAGTACTTCAGTCTTTAAATATAGTTTTAAAGATTACTTGCATATTAATAATGTATATTAGTAAAAATTAGTAATGTTTGTTATTTTTGCAATATTGTGTAAATCCAGGCTTTGCATACACTAGACAAGCTGTGACCACTGAGTAACGTCTCCAACTCTAAATCTTCAATCTTTTTAAAATTTTTATAAATTACTTTTATTGTATAGGTGTTTTGCCTATTTTATTTAGCTGATGACTAAGTAAAAGGAAGAAATGCTGGTAACATAAACACTGGCAATATATAAAATACATATTATCTTTCTAGCTACATTACTAGATTTATCTTTAAAAGAAGTTTTTAATGATGCGATGGGTAGAGCCTCGAGCCTGCTAAACACACACTTCGTGGGCCACGTCCCCGTCCTGATCTAGACTGCAGTAACACGGATGGGACACGCAGCTTCCAAGGACACAGCATAAAATAAAAATGCTTTTCTAGCACACTAAGTTTTAGTTTTTGTCTCTTCTCTGGCTTCAGAAATTGATAATATAACATTCTTGTGTGGTTTTGTTTTGTTTCCTCTGTGTAACATCCCTGACTGTCCTGGAACTTGCTTTTTAGCCCAGGCTAGCCTCAAACGTTCTAACTTAAAGAGATCCTCCTGCCTCTGCCTCCTGAGTGCTGGGATTAAAGGCATGTGTCACCATTCCTGGCTCATATATTGTCATATTTTGAGATACAATATTTTAACATATTTAACCTTGGAGGCTGGAAAGATGGCTTGGCAGTTAAGAGCACTGTTTGCTCTTCAAAGCAATTGGTTTAGCCGGGTGGTGGTTTGAGTTCGAGGCCAGCCTGGTTTACAAGAGCTAGTTCCAGGACAGACACCAAAGCTACAGAGAAACCTTGTCTCCAAAAAACAAAAAACAAACAAAAATTCCCAGCACCCACATGACAGCTTACACCATCTGCTAACTCCAGTTTCAGGAGATCCAAGGGCACTAGGCACACAAACAGCGCACACTCACGCATGCAAAACACCCACACACATAATTAATCGATTAAATATGCTTACCCAGAGAAGGGGCAATCCAGTAGACTACGAAGAACTGGTTGAAGGATTCCTCAAAGCAGGGGAAGTGCAGAGACAGCGCCAGCGCCGGGTTAAACAGCGCTCCGGTGAGGCTCCCTCCTGTGAGCGCAACAGAGGTGAGATGGGACTGTGGTTAGACAGCAAACAGCACAGCCCCTCCTGAGCACACGCGTGCCTGTGTATGGAGGAAACGG